CATATGTATCAGACTGCTAGCTGGTAGTGATTAAGATCCACCAGCCTGTGAGGAAAAGATGGCTGGTCTCCTCTAAAGATTTATATCCTTGGAAACCTGATAAGGAGTCACAATGAGTTGGACTCCAAGGAAGTAAACTTGGCTTTAGTTTGACTTTATATCTTCTAGACATTTGTAATTTGTTGAATATATGGGCCTACAAATAATTTATTCTAGTATTTCATTTGTTGTTATTGTTGTTGATTTTTTCTTCTATACCCATAACATAGGTCCTCATTGAACAAATATTTTCAATCTAACTCATTTGTTCTTCCTTTAAGGCTCATGATTTATGTGGCCCTAAATCTTGAAGATTTTCTGCTGTATTTCCCCAGAAATGTTCTACTTTTACTTTGGTTTATGAAAGTACATTTATATGTTTGTTCATGAATTATTTTTGTATAAGATGTAAGAATTAGACAGAAGTTCATTTCTTTGCCTATGGATGCCTAGTTGAGCTGAAAAACTATACTGCTTCCAATGAGTTGTTTTTGCTGCTTTATAAAAAAAAAATCAATTGAGCATATTTATGTAGATCTATTTCTATGTTCCATCACTTGTTTGAGAGGCTGCAGTACCTTGGGTGTTGCTGTGATACTGGAGGCTATATCACTGATATTTCAAATACCAGAAGGGTCACTCCTGGTGGTTAAGTTACTGCTCAACTTCCAGGCTAAGAGAGTCTAGGAAGAAGGAAAAATGGTCCACTCCTGGGACACAATGGCTACTGCAAATTTTATAAATTGCAGGGAAACATTGTCTGATATGGTGCTGGAAAATGAACTCCTCAGATTGGAAAGAACTCAAGATACAATTGGAGAAGGGCTGCTTCCACAAAGTAGAGTTGACCTTAATGATGTGGCTTGAGTAACACTTTTGGGATCTTCTTTTTAGAAGTAAAAGGATTGAAAATGAGAAGAAACAATTGCAACAAACATCTCCTAATAACTAGGAAATGGGGTGTATAAAGTATGAATCCAGGGAAAATGGAAATTGTCAAGAATTAAGTGGAATACATAAAAAAATAGAGAGCATCATTCTGAGTGAAATATCTTGGTCACATAAAGACAAATATTTTGTAAGGCCAATATTATTAAAAATTCAAAAAGGAAAGGGGAGGCAGAAAGAGAGGAAGGGGGAAGTCACTGGGATAGCAGAAGTTAGTGGATGAAGGGGAGGTGAAGGAATGGGAAAGGTTCAATGGAGATTTTAAAAGACAAGATGATAATAGGAGTCAAACAATGATGTTGTTGTTGGGTACTTTAGAATAGGAACTGACCCATAGCTGACTCTCTGGAAGGTTTTCAGAAGCAGTTAATACCACAAGAGGAGATTTCCCATCTTTCTGTGGAGCAGCTGGCGGCCTCAAACCGTGTGCCTTTGGGGTTGTAGTGCAGCTCCGTGCCACTAGGTCACCAGAGCTCATAACATATATGTGAAGGATTACATAAAACATAATGTACATGAATGAAACAAAATAGATATGAAAGTGTAAAACACAAAGTACATGTACAAAACATTATATATATTTATGAATAATTGTAGGCAAATCAATAAAAAATTTAAAAAAATAGATATTCTATCCATTAATAAGCTGAAATGGACTAGTACTAACCATTTTAAATCAGACAGCCATATGGTCTTCCTTGCTAGGAATGACAGATTTTAAAGGAGTAGTGTCAGATTTATGGCAAAAAATGATCTAGTCTGAATCAATGCTGTCAGTGATATGATAAGGTTTCTATAGAATGACTGAATTTTGCACAATCAGTTCATTGCAAACACATTTTATAAGAAGCATAAACACAGGTTATACACATGGATTTCACCTGGTGGTATACATAGAAATCATATTAATTACATCTGTGGAAAGAAAAACTGGAGAAGTTCAATGTCAGCTGTGAAAACTAGGCCAGGAGCCGATTGTGGAACAGACCACTAACTACTCATATGCAAGTTCAAGCTGAAGCTGAGGAAAATTAAACCAAATCTATGGGAACCAAAATATGACTTTAGGTCTATCCCACCTGAATTTCAGAACCATCTCATGAACAGGTTTGAGGCCTTGAACACTAATGAGTGAAGACCAGATGAATTATGGGAGGATATCAAGGGTATCATCCAAGAAGAGTGCAAAATAAGACGGAGGAGGAAGAAAAGACCAAAATGGATGTCAGAAGAAACTCTTAATATTGCACTGGAGTGCAGAGAAGCCAAAGCAGAAGGAAGAATTCAAGATACTGAAGAGCTGAACAGAAGATTTCAAAAGGTAGCGAGGGATGACAAAGTAAAATATTACAATGAAATGTGCAAGGAGCTGTAGTCAGAAAATCTAAAGGGCCTAAGTCACTCAGCATTTCTCAGGCTCCAGGAACTGAAGAACAAATTCAAACCTCGAGTTGCTATAATCAAGGATGCTTTAGGCAGAGTATTAAAAGATCCAAGAAGTATTAAAAGAAGACGGAAAGAGTACACAGGGTCACTGTACCAAAATGAATTGGCAGACAAAGAAGATTTTAATGAAACAACATATGAGCAAGAACCTATGGGGATGAAGGAAGAAGTTCAAGCTGCTTTGAAGGAAATAGCAAAAAATAAGGCCTCAAGAATAGATAGTATACCAATTGACGTGTTTCAACTAACAGATGCTGGCCTGGATGTGCTCACCAAGGTGTGCCAAGAAATCTGCAGAATACCACTTGGCCAACTGACTGGAAGAGATCTATATTTGTTCCCATTCCAAAGAAGGGTCACCCAACAGAGTGTGAAAACTACAGAACAATATCATTGGTTACACATGCAAGCAAGATTCTGCTGAAGATTATCCAAAAATGAATGGAACAGCATATCAGCAGAGAACTGCCAAAAGTCCAGGCCGGGTTTAGAAGGGGTCATGATACTAGTGATATTGTAGCTAATGTTAGATGGATCTTAGCTGAAAGCAGGCAATACCAGAGGAACGTCTATCTGTGTTTCACTGATTATGCAAAGACATTTGTCTTTGTGGATCATAACAAATTGTGGTTAACACTGAGAAGAATGGGAATCCCAGAACACTTGATCGTGCTAATGTGAAACCTATACTTAAACCAAGAAGAAGTCGTCAGAACAGAGCAAGGAAACAATGCATGGTTCAAAATTCGGAAGGGTGTCTGCCACGGGTGTGTCCTATCTCCATACCTTTTCAACCTGTATGCAGAACAAATTATACATGAGGCTGGGCTCTATGAGGAGAAGTGTGACATCAGGATAGGGGGAAGATCTATCAACAATCTGCATTATGCAGATGACACAATCCTGCTTGCTGAAACTGAGGAAGACCTGAAGCGCTTGCTGCAGAGTGTCAAGGAGTGAGGCTTCAATATCAAGAAGACAAAGATTCTCATGCCTGGACCCGTTGGCAGCATCATGATAGATGGTTGAAGAGATAGAGATTGTTCACAGCTTTAGTCTGCTAGACTCCACAGTCAACACTCTTGGCACCAGCAGCCAGGAAATTAAAAGACACATTGCGGTGGGAAAGTCTGCTGTTAGGGACCTCTCTAAAGTACTGAAGAGCAATGGTGTCACTCTGGAGAGTAAGGTGCATCTGATACAGGTCATGATCTTTGCAATCACTTGTTATGTGTCAGAGAGCTGGACGATGACTAGGGAGGATAGAAAGAGAATTGTTTAAACATGTGACAGGGTAGTGAAAGTAGCAGCAGCAGAGATGACAGAACCAGAAGGCCAGATCTAAATAGAAAGGTGAGTGCCATCAGGACAAAAGATTTGCTCATGGAGTAAGCATTGCTGGGCATTTGTTGAGGGGCTGGGATTGCTCAATCATGGAGTTAGGTTGAGGACCTTTGGTTCTAGGCTACTGGTGAAGTGGGACTTAACATTGAAGAGCTGAAAGAGCTAAATACTTCGTAATATTTGCTGAGCAGTGCAGAGAGAGGCCAAGGCCAAGAGGCTATGGTCAAGTATAGTTGAAGAACATGTCAGGATCATAGCAAGATTCATTAACAATTTGTGATATATAGATGATACAACCATGCTTCCTTAAAGTGAATAGGACTTGAAGCATTTACTGAAGAAGATCAAAAACTACAACCTTCAGTCTGAATTATACTGTAACATAAGGAAAATTAAAATGTCCACTTCTAGACTATTGTATCTATTCTAGAAACTGTTTATTTCCATATAAATTTTATAACACTGATTATTGAAGTCTACAAAAATACCTTGCTGAGGTCTTAATAGCATTTTCACAGGATTTCACGAAATTATAGATCAGTTTGAAAAATATTGCCTTCTTAACCATATTAAGTCTTACAAGCTATGAACATTGTGTATCTGTTAGTTTATGTTGGTATTTATTTCTTTCCTCATTATTTTGTAATTTTTAGCATACAGGTTCTTTACATGTTTTCCTAAGCATGTCATTTTCTTGGAAGCTATTAGAAGCGGTACATTGTTTTTAAATTTTAACTTTTGTGTGTTCATTCTTAGCATACAGCAAGGCAATTTATTTTTTTAATGTTTTTCTTGTATCTTGAAATAATAGTTAACTAATTTATTAGTTTTATGATGTTTTTGAGGGCTTTTCAAATATATATTTCTTGTGATTTTTATATTAGGCAATATTCTCTTCTGCAAATACAGGAAGTTTTGTTTCTTTCTTTTGCAATCTGTTTATCTGTAATGATTAATGTGGCAATATTTAATATTTAGATTCTCAGGAGAAATGACTGGGACAAAAAACTACCTTTTTATGCTTATTATTTCTTATCACATTTCTTTTTAAAGATTTTTATTCCTGCCATTTTGTTGCTTTCAGTTTTGAGTTATTTACTTACTCTTTAAGAAAAATCAGGTTTTGCTTTAAGAGGGGAATAAAAAGCTTCATGTTATATCTGTCTGCATTTACCTGATCAGTACTGAGTTTCTACATTGCTTATCCTTTTTTGTTTTGAAAGATGTTATACATTCAAGCTCTACCGGGACCTTTCCTTTCAATGGATCCATCTTCATTTGTGGATGTGTATGGATATATTGCTACACCTCGAATTTGGAAGCAAAAGTCATCATTGATCTGGCGTCTTGGCCCTACATACCTCTTTGAAGAAGCTATCTCAATCGAAGCTCTGGAAGTTATTAATAAACTTGGTCCAAGATACTGTGGTAACTTCCAAGCTGTACATATCCAAGGTATGGAATATTTTTATTTGTAAGGTTCTTTTTGACATATTTTAAATCGTCATCTTGTTATTTAGAGTATATTTATAAAGAATGAACAGCACCAGCCAGTCATTAGAGAAGACTTCTGTTATTTCATCATTATGTTTTTATAATCCAACACAAAAGTACAGAAAAAAGGGAAAAATAAGTACAAAGAAAGAAACAGCAATATCCTTCATGTTCCAACTTCGAAACACCTGATAGAGGAGAATGACTAGGTCATATTCATAGAAAGAGACAAGAATGAGATAAATAAATTACATTTATTTTAATGAAGAAGCTTTTTAACTAAAGTATACTATTCAATTTTTAAACAGGAAGACAAAACAGCCACATTTTCATTATTGATTGCTGTCTGTTCATGCAGGGAGCATTTCTCTTTTTGTTCTGTCCAGTCTAGAGGGACAGTTTTCACTGGACACATGAGAAGTGGATCAATGTCAGAAGCCTTGGGCACAGTATGAGACAGCTGAGCACTGTTGAGTATTAGTTCTGAACTTCATTTCCTTTGATAAATGACAATAGCCAGTGTGCCATTCTATAGGAATTGGTGTGATAAGTTTAGGTCTAGACCAAGTCACTGACTCTATTTTCATGCCAGAGATTATGATGTTTCAGTTATAGAACCCTCACCTTGCATGAGGATTATCTGGATTCAATTTCTGGCTGATGTATCAAATACACAACCACCACCTGCCTGTCAGTGGAGGCTTGGACATTCCTATGGTGCCGATCAGGTTTCAGTAGAACTTCAAGACAGATGTGACCTGTCAAGAAAAGACCTGGTGATCTACTTCCAAATATTAGCCAATGAACATCCTAAGTTTCACAGTAGTACGAACAGCAACTGATCATGGGAATGACAAAGGATTGGGAGAATGTCATTCTGTTGTTCATAGAGTTTTCATGAACTGAGTACTGACTTGATGGTTGTGAACCACAGAAACATTGTATGCTCTGGTTCTCTAGTAACAGATGTAATCTTGTTCTCTAGGAAGACAGCTCATGAAAACTCTTAGCCCTTTTAAGCCAGATTTCTTTCTTATTTATAAACTGCTTTTTTTTTTTTTTTTTTTGCTATCTACCATGTTGGCTTTGAGAGTGAAGTTATATCCTCTCAAAGGATATATTTATGATTTCTCTTCTTGTAATTCCACATCTGGAACATCTCTATTTTATAGTAGAATAACTCTTGTGAGATTTCCTCACAGTTTTCTACAAGTGCCAGCCAAGTGGGGGTGGGGACAAACAATGCGACACACAGGCGTCTCCTTGCAGTTGTTAATTCACTGTGCAACAATGATATTCATCCCCTGAGGGTTGATTTCCTTTTTGGTAATACAAATTAGTAAAGGTGAAAGGTATATTGTTTTAGGAGAAGATTGCGATGCTGAAGCTGTGCCTCTTGTCATGGAGGACAGGATTTCCTTCGGACTTCACGTAGCCAGCTCGTCCAGCACCAACGTGGCAGATATAAGACGTGTTTACAATGAGGTGGACAGCCGCCTGATAGCTAAAGAGGTATACCTTTTAACTTCAGTTGCTACACTTTCTTTGAATCTTGATCTTGTTGCATGCTTCTGTTTTTAATGCTTATACAAATACAAATTTGTGCTTGCATGTGTTATTGTTGGGTACAATTGAGTTAGACCATTGAGTAGCTGAGCCTCCAGCAGGTTTTCACAGGCTGTAAATCATGTGGGACGAGACTGCCCTTCTTTGTCCTATGGAGCAGGTGATGGATTTGAACTTCAGACCTTTGGTTGGCACCTCAATTCCTTACCACTAAGTCACCAGCGCTCACTTGCACTCATATGTTGTTGTTGTTATGTGCTGTCAGGTTGGAAAAACCTATTGTGGACCCTCCAGCAGATTTTCATAGGCAGTTAATAACACAAGAGGAGATTACTCATCCTTCTCTGTCAGAGCTTCTGGTGGATTAGAAAGATGCAAAGAATTGTGCATCCCAATTCATTTGCTAAAACATCTTGTATCTCCACCATTAACATCTATTAAGACTAAATATTTAGTTTATAATCACTTAGAGAGGAAAGCAGATGGTCTTCACAGTAGATCAACAACAAATGAAATAGTTTGAGACCTTTGCAGACTGAGGATTCTATTGGCCTTTCCTTTGGCTGGATTCTACTGGTCAGACAGCACTGTTCCTTGAAATACTGTAATTTGTTTTGTTTTGTTTTATTAGGAAGGCAAACTTGTAAATTAGTAAGCACATGCATTTAAAACTGTTAGATTTACTATATCCTTATCTTTGCACAAAGAACTATTATTGAATGCTGGTAACTTTGGGCATTTTTAAAAAATATTATTACCACATTATTGGACAAAATGCCATCTCCCTTTAGTAGGATCAGGACCTAAATCCAGATGAGTATCAACACTCTGCCTATCTGAGTAACAATGCATCTTCTGGAGAGGTTGCAGGGGCTCATCTTCTCTTCTACAGTAAGCGAGGACCAGTGCTTGAAGAGCTGGATGACATCAAACAGCCCTGGTAGCATTGTCTCCCCTCAAATGTCTTCACCCTTCTTGCTCTGTTAATGCCTCACTGTGAGCACATGGGGCTCTGGCAGAACCCATGCTGCTTCCTTATGATAGAGGTATGGGGGGCAGGACATGCGAACAGAATTTTAACTTCCATCCCCTGACGTGGGCATCTACTCAGATTCCAGTAGGAGTTCATGCATAAGACCTTCCTCTACCCAGGAATGTTTCTTAGGACTAATTGTCAATTTCTCTCTAGATGAACATTTCATCCCGTGACAATGTCACACCTGTGTTCTTGCTAAGAAATTGTGCTGGCCACCTCTCAGGATTTCTTCGAACCATTGGAGCAGCTGCTACAGGACAATTAGGTATGCAAGGCTGAGAACATTGATTGCTATTTGAAGAGAAGAACTTGTGTTGTCAACATTTGTTCCAATCAACAATTCCGAAATTTCAGGCAAGAAGGAAGCAGTGGTGGTGTCAGTACACTGAGGGCCAGGACAGGGAAGTTAGTGCAGCTGAGAAGTGTCCCCGCACATATGGAAATCTGTGTGTAAATTACTTAGCATTGATAAAAAAAAAAATGAATGCCACAAGTGTGTGGCTTTCAAGAAGAAAAAAAATGTTTTCTCATAGTTCTAGAGGCTGAAAGTTCAAATTAGGGTTTCTGTCATGTTGATTCATGTTCTTCAGTTCACTAACAGAATTATCTTGGTCGTTCCGTTGTTTGTAGACAAGTCCTCACATGACACCCATCCCCCCTCTGAGTGTGTGATACTGTCTAATGTGCTCTCTTTTTTAAAAATTATTATTAAATTTTATTAGTTTTAATGAACATTTACAGAGATTTTGGGTTTTCATTCATTCATTGTTGCACTGTTTTCTCTACCCTCCTCCCCAGTTCGTTCTTCTTTCCCCATCCCCCTTGAAAGTCTGTTTTAATTGTCCAATTGCCACAGTGCTTGTCAAAGCCATTTCTGATTAATCTCCTTTGTCAGTGTGTCCTTTGCCATTCCCTATCACTCTTCCCTGAGAGAGACTTCACCCTGATTCATAAGGAAAAGGGGATGGCGTATTCTCTTAGCTACTTCCTGCTGAAAAGGGACGCTGTAGGTTTCAGGGTGGAGATCTTCTCTCACTACTCTAAAGGGCCCCTTTGGCAATAGGAAACACATAGACTATTATGGAGATTGATTTTGGAATTTAGATGCACTGTTATCAGTTGTGCTTAGCTGTACATGTTCATATCCTTGAAGATGTATCATGCAAGTGTTGCAGCCTAGAAGACACAAATTTAACTAACAAGTTAAAAGTACATGAGTCAAAAATTAAAAAGCAATAATATTCTGAGTAGAGGTTCTAATAGTGGCACAAATCAAGTTACAGAGGGAAGGTGGTTCTTACAATAAAAGGCCTATAGACTAGCACTTTGTCTATTATAGTGTAGAGGTTAGGAACCACAAGATGTAGAGGCTCAGCTATGTCATTTATGGCTAATGTGCTCTTTTATAAATTGCCACCTAGCTTAGATTAGGGCCTATGCTGCTCTAGTATGATCTCATTGACATAACAAAAGAAGTCCTTCTTTCCAACAGAGTCAAAATAACAGGTACAGTGTCAGAACTTCCATATTTCTTTTTGAGGCCATGAAATTCAATCCATAACAATCAACTCCTGATGCCATATTAAACATAATTACAGGGAATATGACACTGGAGTCTCTTCACTGGGAACCCATCTAGTGAGTGTATTGAACAGGAACCTACCTAGTAAGTGCAGTAAGCATGTGTACTTGACTTTGAGCATAGAAGAAATAGCAACCAGGATACTGTAAACTATGAAGATATCAGAGTCCAGTCTAATGGAATCTAGAGAGCAGACAAGAGTCAGAGGTTATCAGAGTAATGAGGAGGCAGAGGCTGAGAGGTTGTACGGCTCATTGGGCATTCCAGACAGTAGCAGAAGAAGGCCATTTCCCTCCTAGATCCCACCTGCTGGTGAGGATGAGATGATTACCATGCAATCAGGCCTGCTGCCTCCTACTAGAAGGCCTCAGTGAGGAGCAATCTACAGTTTCAGAGCCTTTACTATGGCTGCTGTTGTCCATGTTAACAGTAACTAGTGCCTTTATTCACCTATATGAGTTTTGAAAGTTGATCTGAATTTCTCTGGGCTGTTTCATCCTCTCAATGAATCAGAAAGGATTTTTCAGTGATCTAGGAATTTTACAAGCTGCTCTACCCTTACTATCTAGATTGTCTTATGTGCTAGGAGATTTCCCATGGCAGTGAATCTGGGTCTTATTGATCAAATGCCCCTTTGTCCTAACAGGAGTGAGGGTGTTCCATTCTAGCCCTGCGGCCAGCAGCTTGGACTTCATTGGAGGACCTGCAATTCTCTTGGGTCTCATGTCCCTGGCAACAGATGAGCACACTATGTATGCAGCTGTGAAAGTCCTGCACTCCGTCCTGACCAGCAATGCCATGTGTGATCGCTTGATGTGGCACATCTCTGGGTATCAGGTAAGCTGAGCCTCTCACATGAGTCTTGGATACTCCAAGAGTATCATCCTGAGCGGCAGGGGCAAACATCTCTTCTCTACTGGACAGTCCTTCCAGCGGGACTTATGAGAAAAGGACTCCTAAAGGCCCCAGGGACCGAGACCAGCATCACACAGAGCAGAGCCAGTTAACCACCAGCTAGAAATAAGGATGACAGGACTTTATCTCAAGTACTTTGGGCATATTAGAGGATCTGTGAAACAGGTCCTTCACAAGATATATTGACACAGTGACTACTACAATCATGGGGTGAAAGGCATCTCATGATTAGTGAGTTGTGAGGATTGGGAAGGGTAGGTTAGTAGTATTTCATTCTTTTTAAAAAGATTTATTATTATTATTATTAATTTAATAAAAATTTACAGATATTTTGGATTTCTATTCATTCATTCCATTCCATCCATTCATTCGCTTTTCTCCCTGCCCACCCCTCTCCTCCAGTTTGTTCCTCTCCTTGAAAAGTAAAAGAAAAATCCTTTCAGTGTTATACAATCCCTCCCCTCAAGTCCTCTCCACTTCATTTTAGACTACTGTCATGACAATAATACCTTATAATATATCCCTTTTAAATAATTCTTTCTCGTCTGTTTCAATGTATATAGTTCTCCATAAGTGAGAATGATGTGACAATACCTAAAAAAAATTAAAAAATTGGAAAACTTAAAACATATGCTTCAATGGCAATGAAAGAAAATCAAAAGGGGGAGGCTGGGTGAACCTAGATGATAAATGACAGTGGTGAGTATAAACACTACGTTCAAATTTCTTCTCAAGTATTTTTTAAAAACATTATTTCTTGTTATTTGAATGGAAGTTTACAAAGAAATTGGCTTTTCATTCACTCATTTATGCAGATATACCCTCTCCCTTTCCCCATCACCCCCTCATAATGCTCAGTATTTGCTTGTTAGCTGCATTACTCATAATGTCTTATCACCCATTCTTTTCAGAATTACCTTCCCTTCACGTTTTCCAATGCTGTATTCCTTGTCTATCCATTCTCTTCCTTCTTTCCCCAACTCCCCATGTACCCATCGCCCTCTTAATTTTTTAACAGAAGTCTTATATGTCCCTCTGTGACTGAGTTAATTTTTTAAGTGTTTTAACCTCTCTTGACCACTTCTTTATAAGATAGAACCCTCCCTTTTACTCCACTTCTCTCTCAATAACTTCTTGTGACCTTTATAAATAGCGGGCTTCACCAGTTCATGTGTTGTATCTCTATAGATTCATATATCTGTGGTCAGGTTCATTCTACCCCACCCAACACACACACATAACACATGTTCATGAGGGTACAAGTTGGACCTGTTCACTGTTGTGCCCCAAAAGCTCATAATATACTGGTACTCAGGAAGGATTTTAGGAATGGATCAGTGTCTTAAAAATAGATCTACAATTAAATTGTTTGTTCAGGAGAGGGCTAGACAACTTTTTAAACTTTAGTTACGCGGTGTTCATCTGCTGGTTTGAGATTGTGAATATGAAAGCATAAACTTAACTATCTATATTATTTATACAAACTTTGTCACTCTAGTCTCAGACTAAAAAGGCATTCAGTTGAGTTTTACAGGATGAATTTTCTTAGAAAGATAGTATTAAAGACACAGCTTAAAAACATACTCAAGAGAAAGACTCGAGAAATCTAGGAATAGTTGCCTGCACAAAGCCACAGGAAAGGCCAGGCTATGTGGTCAGTGCCCAGCAAGCTTAATAGATAGGGAGGGAGGAACAAGAACTTGGCCACCCTAAGGTGAGTGCATTTTATCTCTTAGGTAATAGGAAGTCACAGGAATTTTTCAAACAGAGAAATGGTATGATTTATTCTTTTTCCTTAGAATAGTCTTTATGAAGGATAGACTGGAGGAGGACAATTTGGGCAGGGAACTGAGATAGAATATATCACGGTATTTAACTCTTTCTGACCTGGAAAAACTCAACATTTTTTAAAGTTATTGGACAGATGATATCATAAAGGAACCAGTGTGGCACACCCAGGTAATGCTACAGATAGGGAAAAAGATATATGAAGTTAGACAAGTCTGAGAGACATTAGGTAGAATATAAAATAGTTTCAATGGTTCTAAAGCTCAGAGGAGTACACAGAGCTGGAATTATAAATGTGAGACTCATCAGCATAAAGATGATAATATTTTAATTAATGAAATGTATTTTATTTGGAAAAGAGAAAAGCCCAGAGAAGAATGAAAAGGAAGGAAAATTGAGAAGGAGTGACAAAGAACTACTTATACAAGTATTAAAAATACAAGTAAAAATATTGATATGAAAGAGGTATGAGGAAATAAAGACAATTTTGTCCAAGAAATGAAGAATATAAAAAATGTTTGAGAAGCAAGAGTGTGGCCAAACAACACTGAATAACGATGAAAAATGAAGCAAAATAAGAGCAGAGATGTCACTGTTAGATTCGATCACCTGGAAGTCATCAGTGACATTTCCAAGCAATGTCTGAAGAGAGAGAAGCTGAAATGAGGGGGGGGGGGGTTGAGGGGAGGAAAAGAGAGGAGAGGAGAGGAGAGGAGAAAATGAATATTGAAGGAGATGAGGGTGCAAAGCCAGAGTGCACTCATAATACTTTCCAAAATTTTACTTCTGAAGAGAAGTGATGAAATGGAATCAGAGCTAAAAGGAATTACAAGGTCAAGAGAGAGTTATTTTTAAGATGAGACTGCTAGAACATATTTGTGTGTGGATAGGCATGATCCAGGATAAAGCTGAATGAAGTTAAGGGAGAAAAGTTAGACAAAAGAACAAAGTCCCTAAGGAAGCAAGAGGTTATAGGGCCCAAAGTCAGATAGGTAAGACATTGTGCCTGTGATAGAAAGTAATGCAGAACAGATACTCTTAGATTTGGTACAGGAAAGCCAAGAACATTCTATTTCCCAGCAGAATAGGAAATGATTTGCTGAAATAAGATAAAGCATAAGGGAGATTTAGAGAAAGAAGGGAAGATACTAAGTGATCTTTAGATTTAAGAAAACCATCTTACTAGATAAATCATGTTGAAAATTCAGGCCAAATTGAGTGTTAATCTGCCACTTGATACTGTTGTGATAAATGAAACCTATTGTCCTGGGTTTATAAGTTTCTCAAACCACTTTTCAGATATTCATTTTCTAATTAAGACCTGGGGCTAGGTAGGAAAGTTAAAATTAGATTTCAGATATGTTTAAGAAGTAACTAGTTTAGAAATTTATTTAGTATTTGTTGATCCCTAAGCAAAGCATTCCAAGGTATATTGAAAAACAATATACAGAAAGGCAAAGAGGAGTAGTAGATTGTATAAGGTCCATGGATTACTGATAGAGCAATGGATGAGATGGATGAGAGTCTAGACAGCAGGAGTGGAAGTCCAGATGAGATGGATGACAATTCAGAAGACACACATTCCTGACCCAGATGGATGTTAGAGATCCTGATTTTTGTACATCCACAGTCAACAGAGACTAAAGTGTGATAAGATCTGTTGTTTTTAAGTCAAGTGTGGGGAAATGGACCAATGGTTAAAACCCCGTATTGTTAAGATTCACATGCACACTGTTAACTCTCCAGGTCTGGACATAAGAAAAAAAAAATCTATCTGATGATTGGCTTGGTACAGTGGTATAACTGGAAAAACAGTGTGATAGGAACAGTTGCTGATCAGCACGTGCTGTATTCATGGATCTGGAAGGCAGTGTGATAGCTCTCCAAGACTGCCTTGCAACCTTGTCAGAGATTTTATATCTTTTTTCAACTCTTGATCTAATTGACATATTATTATTCTGTGTTCAAAGTTACAGGGCTCTCCATCCACAAAGACAATTCTTCTATTACTAAGAAAAGAGTGCCCTACAAACAGTTTCTACTGTTTTATTATTACTCAGAAAAGAGTTTCTACAAACAGTGCTAACTCACATTATTATATCTCTTCTCAAAGTTAAAGGGTTCTTATTTGTGGAAGCAATTAACCTTTCTGAGGCAAATGATACTTTTCATCTCAATAAAGCATTGCCTTATTTTTCGAAGCAGTAACATTTTCCCATGATAGGAGATCATAGTCTGAGGCTATGATTTTAATGGTCCCTCACAAAACTATTTACACCAGCTTAACTGATTTACAGGTGGCACAACATGATGCTAAATCTTATTATAAAGAAGTTAACCATTAATGAAAGCTGAACCTCAAGACTCAAGTATTGTTACAGAGAAGCAATGAAGGCTTAAACTTTCAAATGGAGTACAAAATGTCAAACTTCATTTAACTTTATCTTGTGCTAAGATTTAAAAACCATCTTGAATCTTATTAATATTATCCCTCAGAGGGACTCATGAGTAGGCATTTTCCTGGTTGGGTATATGTGTAAAGTCCAGTAAAGAAAATTAGAAAGAACACTTGAAAACATAGGAGGAAGCCATGACAGAATGATATCTTAGAGTTCAAAGGGAAGAGAGCAATAGTCCCTAGTGGGAGGTCATGCCACACAAGTGCAGAACATTGGACACTGGTTGGGGAAGTAGCCATAGAAATTAGTGCATGCATCGTTTTCCTGAGAGCATGGGAATTAAGAACCCAACACCCAAGATCAAAGAGTTTCATACTAGACTGACCCAATGTGCTGTTAGGAACAAGTAAATAGAAAAGGAGAAAGAACTCTAATGATACATTTATGAGGAAACTCCTTTGTGCTTTGATCTTTTCAGATAATGGCATTTCTGCTGAAAAAAAAGGCTTCACTCCTAAACTACAGAATTTTTCAGCTAATTCTCTCAATTGCTGGAACTGCAGAACTGTGCTTCAGATCATCTCTTATTACCAATATTGGTGTCTTCCAACATGTCCTGTGCAATTTTGAGGTAAATTGGAAACTGGCTCTCAGTCCTGACAAGTGCATGTAATAGTAAAATAAAACAGGTTATTCTGGACTTTCTATTAAATGCAACAGATCAAATTCCTGACTAGTCATGGTAAATAGAGGGCAAATCACAAAGGCACTGGAACATACAGTGAAATCTGAGTTGTGTATGGGCAGTGTGGCCTCAGGTAAGCTTCTTAACATATTGAAGTCCCAGTCTTTGGAGGAGTGAAGGAAACAAATTGTTATGCTCTAGATTGTTGTACAAATATTAAATGCTTTTAAACAAAGTACCCAACTTCGTTTTGGTGTTGGTTTGCCATTTATAGATGATCTCAAAAGACTAAAAGCTACGATGGACATATGAAAGTGTGAAGATTGATAAATTAATGAAATATTATTTTCAGAGCACCCAGCGGGCCAGGTGCTGGCAGTACAACAGTGGCTGTGACCCATGCTCTCCACAGAGTACGTGGGTCTAATGCACAGTCCACCGAAAGCACAGTGGACTAAGTGCCACATTGAGGGAGGCAAAGACAACCTGGGCAGAGGGAGTGAGAACAACAAGCAGTTTAGAGCAGTAATGTTTCCACAGGATAAATAACTTTAACAATGAATCTGGTAGAATGAATCTAATGGGAAAAGACCATTCTAGGTGGAATTCCTATAGATGAGTACACAAATATGAGGGCAACAATGAATACTTGAGAGTAAGTGCTTGGTGAGCACCATGAAGGTCTGTGCTGGTTACAGATGAGTTTGAGGAGGCTTGAGAAAAAGACAAGAGGAAGGCACTGAGCCACTTGCTGTGTTTTTAATTCAAAACTATGTGCTGGTGGTCAATGTGAGTTCCAGATTGGACTGCTGTTATGTGCCGTCGAGTAGCTTACAACTCATAGCGACCCTGTGTACAATAGCTCTAAACCCTGCTCTATCCTGTGCCAAATGCACTGCCTCTGACACACCCATCCTGATTACCCCAGTCACTAAATCAATCCACCTCATAGAGGGTCTTCCCCTCCTGCACTGTCCCTCCATCCTCCCAAGCATGATGTCCCTCTCCAAGGACCTGTCCCTCATTGCAACATGCCCAAAGTAGGTCAGATGAAGCCCCAGAATCCTTGCCTCCAAGGATTGCTTGGTTTAATCCTCTCCAGGATGTATCTGTTTGTTTTCTTGGCAGTCCATGGTACATTCAATACTCTTCTCCAGCACCACAGCTCAAAGGCATCAATTCTCCTCCTATCCTCCTTGATCATTGTCCAACTCTCTGATGCATAACAAGTGATTGCAAAGACCATAGACTGTATCAGATGCACCATAGTCTCCAGAGTGACACCATTGCTCTTCAGTACTTTGGAAAGGTCCCTAACAGCAGACTTTCCCATCGCAATATGTCTTTTTATTTCCTGAGTGCTGGTGCAAGATGGTTGACTGTGGAGCCAAGCAAACTAAAGTTGTTAACAGTCTCAATCTCTTCACCATCCATCCTAATGCTGCCAATTGGTCCAGTGGTGAGAATCTTTGTCTTCTTGACATTGAGCCTCAATTCATACTGAAGGCTGCAGCCCTTGACCCTCTGCAGCAAGCGCTTCAGGTCTTCCTCAGTTTCAGCAAGCAGGGTTGTGTCATCTGCATAATGCAGATTGTTACTAGATCTTCCACCAATGCTGACTCCACAGTTCTCATAAAGCCTAGAAGAGAAAAAGAAAGACCAAAATGGATGTCTGAAGAAACTCTGAAGATTGTACTGGGATGCAAAGAAGCCAAAGCACAAGGAAGAATTCAAGATACTAAAGAGCTGAACAGAAGATTCCAAAAGGCAGCAGGGGATGACAAAGCAAAATATTACAATGAAATGTGCAAGGAGCTGGAGTCAGAAAATCAAAAGGGCAGAACTCAGTCAGCATTTCTTAAGCTCAAGGAACTGAAGAACAAATACAAAGCTTGAGTTGCTATAATCAAGGATGCTTTAGGTAGAATATTAAATGATTCAGGAAGTATTAAAAGAAGATGGAAAGAATATACTGAGTCACTATATCGAAAGGAATTGTCAGACACAGAAGAATTTAATGAAATAACATTTGAGCAAGAGCCTATGATGATGAAGGAAGAAATTCAGGCTGCTATGAAGGAAATAGCAAAAAACAAGGCCCCAGGAATAGATGGTATACCAATTGATGTGTTTTAGCTAACAGATGAATGTTGCCCTGAATGTGCTCATCAAGTTTTGCCAAGAAATCTGAAAAACAACCACTTGGCGAACTGACTGGAAGATATCTATATTTGTTCCCATTCCAAAGAAGGGTGACCCAACAGAGTGTGGAAACTATAGAACAATATCATTGATTTCACATGC